AAAAAAAAAAAAAAAAAAAAAAATATATTTTATAAATACACATATAGAGATGAAAAAACAAAATCATAAGATATGTAAAATAGATAAAAATAAGTAAAATTAAACTTTAATATTATATATATATATATATGCATATGCAATTTTAAAATGTATATTTATAAGATATAAAATTAATATATAATTAGAAATGTTTTATACTTAAAATATTTTGAAATATTGATTTTAATTTTATTATATAATAATAATAAAAATAATATTTATACGAATAAAATAATAACATATCAACTATAGCTAACTTTATTTTTTCTTCAATAGAATACTCATATAATTGATTTTCTTCATAAAATTTATTATTTTCTATTTCTAAACATTTAATAGATTTATTAATATTATTATTCTTTAAAATACTATTTAAATAAGGAAGAGTATCATTTTTACTTATTTCTTTAAAGTTTTTTATCTTATAAATTGGTATATCTAAACATTTTGTTTTATTAAAATTAGAAGTAAATAATAAAGATTTTAAATTATTTAATGTATAGGATATTTCTAACATATGTTTTATAGATTCTTTTAAAATATCATCATTTATTATTTCATTTAGTTCCTCTATTTTTTTTCCTTTTAAATTATTATTTATTAATTCGTTTTCTTTATTCATTTCAGAATGATTCATGTTCTTACTGTTATAAATTGCATCGTTTTTCATTTTGTCATTTTCATTTTCATTTTCATTTTCATAAATTTCTATCACCTTTTTTATCTCTTTTTTTAAATGGTTTTCATCATTTAAATAATTAAATGGATCGTCATTGTTACTATTGATTTTTTTCTCTATAATATCATTTTTTTTTTCTTCTTTTTCTTTTATACTTTCAACATCAATTTTGTTTTTCTCTTCATGTAATTCATCTTTATCATTATTCTTCTTATCGGTAGTAATAATATTATTTTCACAATTTTGGATATTCTTTATATTTTTTAAATTATTTTTGTTTGATTGTGTTTCTTTTATTTCATTTTTTTTTGTTTCTTTAATATCTATTTTAAAATCCTCATTATTCATCCATTTTGGTGATAATGCTAGTTTAAAAATTTTCCAAACATTTTCCGAAAGTTGATATTGAAATTCTTGGTTAGATATTAAAGACGAAAAAAAAGTTTTCGTTTGTTCTTGTGTTTTTTCATTTTGCATTGTATTATAAAGAATATTTTGAAGATATAAAACAGAATTATTAATCATTTCATCATTTTTAAATAATTCCTTATATATAATACCTCTAAGATTTTCTTTTACAAAATTAGAATTAAATAAGTTAACTAGCCACTTCTCTGAGGAATTTATGGCTGCAGGTAAACATATTGCTTCTGATAATAAATGATAACAATTTTTTTGTATATTCTTATTATTACATAAATAAATAGATATATCACTAAATATATTTTTTAATTTTTTTTTTACATGTTCTGTTTCTAAAATTTCTATAAATATATCACCAATTTCTTTTTTAGAATTTTTTAGTACATTAATCAAAAATGATGAAGTTAATGTTTTATTTCTTTCTTCTTGTAATATTTTAACTAATAAATTATTTGTTATTTCTTTCATATTATTTTCTATCTCTTTTGATTTTTTTATTTCTTCTAATATTTTTTCAATTTTCGATATAATATAGTTATTTATAATATCTTCCGATAAAACAAATAGAGAACATATTGCTAATATGATAAGCATATAATTTATTAAAAAAAAGTTCCTAAAAAAATTTAATTTTCTTTCATTTGCGTTTATAATTTTAAGCATTTCATTTATTTTATCACTTTCATTTTCTAACAAAGGTAATTTGCTATTTATCTTATTAATATTTAGAAGATTCTCATTTTTATTTTTATTTGTTTTATTTTTAATTAAAAGATTATAAAATGATTTCCTTTTTTGTGTAGAAAAAGAATTAAATAAATTTACATTTTCAAAATTACGAAATATTTCATCTTGTAGGTTGTATTTGTTTATGTAAGAATTTTTTTTAAGAGAATTGAAATATTTTTTATTTGTTTTTTCTAATTTTTTTACCAACTGTTTTTTTAATTCATTCATGTTAAGACTAACAGTCTTTTTGTTATTTGTATAAATATATCTTTTAAAACATTTTGATTTTGTAAATCTATTTTGAATAATATTCTTTTCTATTACACCTAAGAAATATGCAAATAACATTTTTTTTTTTTTTATATCTCTTATTCTTTTAATAACTTATTTTATTATATATGTATATTTTTGTTAATAACACTCATAGTTTTTTTCTTAATAATTTTTAATTATTACCCATTTTTTATTAAAGATAAAAAAAAAATTTATTTTTAATTTATTTATTTATTTATTTTATTTACTTTTTTTTTTTTATATATTATATGATTGATATTATCCCATCTTAAAGTTTTTTATTAAAAGGAAGATGATGAGTATTTTTTTTTTTTTTAATCTTCAGTCGTGTAAATAGTGTATTTTTTTTTTTTTTTTTTTTTTTTTTAAATTTTTTAATAATGTTTAGAAAAA